GACACACACACACACACACACACACACACACACACACACACACACACACACACACACATCTGTATATAATGTTAAGAAATATCTTGTTACCTGTCTATCCTTCGTAAAAAGTTGGGATTGTATTATTTTTGGATTTTACGTCGACTGAAAATTCTTATAAACCGATTACAGTCATTTACTGTTTAATATTTCATTGTGATGCCTTTTTCGACGAATGAATTTCATTTTTACTTTGAAATGATCTCGTCGTTGAGTAATCTGTTAGTATCCCATTTAAACATGAATTTCATTTGCAAATGATTCACGGTGCCTTTCTGCATTCTGTAGCAGAAATTGAAGTTTCTTCGTAAATAAATCCTGTTTCAAGTGCCACTGGATTGGATTTCAGTAGTTGTCCGACGACGGTCATTAATGCCGAGGCAATGACCATTAATGAGAGTACTAATCGAAGAGTTTCCTGCCATTTCCACGGACAATGAATGTAATCAAATGGATAATCATCGTCCTTAAAGACCGTCCTCGACGAGGGCTCCTCGAAAGAGGTCTCGGACTTGATCGGTCTTGAATGTGGATCCGATTACGTAGTAGAAAAAATGATGACACGATAAAATATTAATTTTCTGCTTACGCGGTATTGCCGCGTAAATTATACGTCATATCTACACTAGTGCAATGTATAATTTCTCTTTATTACATCAAGGAAATCGTTGCTTTATATTTGCATATAAAATTGATACTCGTCGTTGCGTCGTTTAATTTTCGTTATTTAGATTTATGCGATTTATCACGGTCATTAGACATACCAGCGATATATGACGTGCGTATATAAGTGTGAATATATACATCTATGTATCGCAGCGAGTTAATGCGGTTTATCAAAGCCGCAGAAAAAATTTCTCAAGACGAAAGATAAATTTCCCTCTGAATTTTACTTTTCGAGCGTTAACAGAGCGTGTCCTTTTTATCGAACCTCATTTTCTTCGTCGAGAAAGCCGGCGCGGCGGGCCGTTTTGAAATATGGAATACAGCCGGTAATGATCAAGGTATTTAATGAACTGGCGGCCGACTGCGGCGAGCGAATTGGTGCCGCATCGGGAAGATTCCTAGACGAGCACCGGGTATATCGAGCAGGCAACGACCTTCGGCGGAGCTTCGCAGCGTTCGACCTCAGCAAGGATACTCGCAATCTGCGGTGCATCGGCCCGAGAGAGCCTGGGGAGACGTCGGGGATCGCCGACTTTACGTTTCACACACCCACCTAGCAACCAGCGAGCGAGAGAATCCCAGCAGCTTTATTACGGTCGAGAGGGTGGCGAGGGGGGCGGGGAGGGGGGCCAGAGAGGGGCGAGATGCGCGAAGCTCCGGTGTCTCCAGTCAACAATCCTGACCGGTCCTTTTTCCTGCCGCATACCATCAATACGGCAAGACACTGCCACACGATATGGCTGGCAAAAGGAATAAACGTTTCTCGATGTTTGCCGTGCTCTCGGTCATCTCCCGAAGTATACTTCAAGCTCGTGTTTCCATGTTTTTATCGCCGGTCCCAGAAACGGCACGGTTCTCCAAGCGTTTCTCCTTCGAGTTTTACGCGTGTAAAAACCGTTTGCCAGAATAACAAACTGATAATTTAATTCAAAAGTCATTTCAAAAGCTATTTTTTATTTATCATTTATATATTTTTTTTTAATTAATTTCCTCATAGGAAATAATTAGTTTGAAATTCCAATTATCTCTCGGAGCAAACTCTTTAAGAAAAAATTCAACGTGGAAATACTTTAGTAGAAAGTATTTTAGAAGAAATTAAGAAGTATTCTAGTTTATAAATTTTTTTTAAAAGAAAATTCATAATTTCGCAACTTAATCTCACTCGCGATTTTTGATTTGATAATTCGATAATTTAATTCGACAATAAGACGAAATATTCGACGATAAATTCTCCACGTTGCAGAAGAGGAACTCCCTCGCAATCGTCACCGTCCACAAATCACGAGTCTCCTCTCCAGGTATTTCAGCGCGCCAGAAGGAATCTCCATTTCATTTATATTCGCCTTTCGCGGCCACTCTTCCTGGCTCGTATATAAAGATATATAAGATCTCGAGAGATGACTTCCCGACACAGCGGAGAAGCGCGGACGGGGGGATTTTTGACATTGAATTCCCATCCGCGGCTACCATCCTCCCGCGGAGACGCGATAAATTGCGTTCCTCCGCGCGGAGAACACGGCGCCCGTTGCGAGATCGTTCTTCTCGATAGCCGGCATATCTCGAACGTATATACATTCTCGAACGCATCCATCCTCGGGAAATTAGTTGTTTTCTCAGCTGTGAGTATTGCTCGCAACCGCTTTCAACGAACGTCGCGAGACACGATCACGATACCACTCGCGACGTCTCTCCGGTCGACGACCTTTGGACGCCGCGTTTCGATTAACTCCAATTGCGAGAGAATCATTACGAAGGTCAGTCGGTCTATGCGGTAACTGTGTCTATCACGTCGTTGCCTCGTTTACCAGGTGCTTATTGCTCGCGGATGAAGTCGCCAGGAGGTCATCGGTTCTCCTCGATTAATCCGACACGTGACGTAGGATGTCTATTTACGAGGAAAAAGATGAGATTTTTCAGGAAATTTTTTTCTGCTTGGGGCAAGAAGGAGAACGAATAGAAGGAACAATCTTCATTTAAAAAATAATTTATAATTTATAATTTTTCCTGGAAAATCTGAATAAAACATTGGAAGAGCTGACTTTCAGAAAAATCTTGTTCGAAACTTTGACAGACGCTCGTAATTGCGGTATTTACGTAACAATGCTGATTGACGTCGGATTGCGGCATTTCTGATCGCTGTCTTTATCTCTCGCTGTAAAGGTTGTTTTCACATCTTCTCGCACGTGTACACGCACGATTTATTCGCGGAAATCGAAATATGACCGGGCACTCAAAGTATGGGTCCGATACGCACGGTGAGATACGGGTTTCGCGCAAATGCATGCTTTGTACGCAATTTATGGACATCCCCCCCGAGCTGTATTCATTACCATATGTACATATCCATTTTCAGGCGATCGATGAGCACGCATGTTTCGCGCGTGAATCAGCGTTCTTCTTCGACATCAGATCTCATCAGACCATCGTGAGGTGTTCCGCGTGTCGCGGCCTTTGCTCCCCGGCGCGATTCATCTCCCGACATACTCTAAAAGATATTGACATTTTTCCTGAACTTTGATATCTCGGGGATCCGTTTCAGCGCACGCGAGTAGACTCTCGAGATCACGGTAGAGACGGGATATCAGAGAAAGCGATAAAAATCGACAAAATGCAGGAAGAAACGTGATGCACACACGATAGATAGATAGATGTATGATAAATACGAGGATACACACACACACACACACACACACACACACACACACACACAAAATTAAATCAATATTCTCATAAATAAACAAGAATGTTATAATCTTTTTAAAAATTTAATCTTGATTTGAGTGAATTTGTATAGAATATACACAGAAAAAAATTTAGATTTTATCTTAAATCAAGACAAATATTTTCATATATAAGCAAGAATATTATAATCTTTATTTAATTAAATTGGTATCGATGCAAGATATTCTCAATAAAAACAAAAATATTATGATCCTCATATAGAAGATTTTTAATTCTTGAATGATCTTGAATTGAACAAAATGATACTGGTCAATAGAAGTTCAGTCAAATCAAGACTGAAATAAAAAATAATAATAATATTCTTGCTTACATATAAGAATATTTATCTTGATTTAAGATAAATTTTTTGTGCCGGAGATTACTAACGTCAGGTATCACTTGACGCTTATTGATCATGAGTCTCATTATTGATGGCAGTCTTCAGTCGTTTCGAACTTT